AATAGTGGCTACTTGCAACGCGACCAAAATGGCTTTTGCAAAGGCTGTTACAAACGCAGACGCAGCAGCGACCATCGATTTTTTATTTGACATAATAACTACCTACGGTACACCAAAATACTTCGTCAGCGACAGAGGTACACATTTCAAAAATACCGAAGTAAAAAACATATGTGAAAAATTAGGAATAACTCAAATTTTTTTCGACTAGTTACCACCCCCAGAGCAACGGAATGACCGAATTAATGAATAAAATTATATGCAACGCCTTAACACACTACGTCGACAATAACCAAAAAAATTGGGCACTATATTATAAAATGATTATATTTGCGTATAATACACACCCACACGCAAGATTTGGTTACTCCCCATTCTACCTAATGTACGGCACGGAGGCAACGCAACCTCTAGACAACAAAATCATCCCACCCGAAACAGACCATAATAGAATCGAAGAAATAATACAACTACAAAAAATTAGGCAAGAATTACCAAAATTAATAGAAGCAGAACAAATTAAGCAAAAGAAACAGTACGACAAGAACCACAAGGAAGTGGAATACCAACCCGGCCAAAAAGTGCTAGTAAAAATAAAATTCCAGAAACAAGGAGAATCAAAAAAATTGGCGCACAAATACAGAGGCCCATTTGAAATATTAGAAAAAATTTCGGACGTAAATTACAAAATTGCATTAACACTAAATGGAAAAGAAACGACGGATACTATACACGTAGATAGACTAAAGCCATACCACGAAGAATTAAATTAAATAAATAAATTATAATACTAATAATGTAAAAAAAAAAAAAAAAGAACAATTAATCAAATTATAGTAAAACAAGAAATTATGTAACATTATGAAATTCGTATATTCATATATATTTATTTTATTTTTTATTTAAGTAATAAAAATTATAAGTAAATTAAGTATATGTCACATATAGGTTAAATTAATTCTATAAAAAAAAAAATATATAAATATAATTAATTAATATGCAATTAAACACAGTAATAAATAAAGTAAATAAATTAAGTATATGTCATGTATAAGTTCAATTAACCCATTATCTATATATATATATAGGTATATATGAATTAATATTACAATTACATTTAAGGGAAAATAATAAAATATTAAAAACATGTAAAAAAAAAGAAGATATAAAAAAAAAAAACAAAAGAATAGAATGTATTTTCAGCATAATCAAAAATTAACGAGTCACCAGACAACAAGCCGCAACAATCTTCTGAGACAAAGTGCGAATATAATATTTTCAAAGTAGACAATAAGCATTAAACCAATAATTATAAAAACAATAAGCAAATACCTATTCATACGAAGACACGAGGAAGAGACTGCAGTCAAAACAGAAGTTTGGAAAAATAATATACGAGAATATATATAAATAAAAGAAAAAAAAAAATATATACAGATTATAAGAAGAAAAACTAAAACAAGCAAGATAATAAACACTTACCTTACAAAAACAAAGGAGAAGAAGAATTAACTACCACAGAATAAAAAAAAAAAAAACAAAAATCCCGTAGAAGAACAACAATCATTTACTGCTATTTGTCGAAATAAAAATATTATACTTCAAACTGAGAAAAATCTCTAAGAAAACATTTTCCACAGAGAGCCAATCAATAAATTATTATAACCTTATATGTATTCACATAAATTTTTGTATCTATATTCTGAGTATGTATTTCATACTTTATAATACAGTATAAAATATAACTCAATTTATATTTATATTATAAAAAAAAATTATTAATCATTAATATGTATTTATGAATTATATGTTTGTAATTGTTTCTAGATCCTCACATAATATTGCCACAGGTAGAGATTTTTTTTTGTATTTATATTCCGAGTTAATTTTATACAGTATAAAATAATTACGGCGGTTGAAATATCGATTTATCTGTTTTAAATTTAAATTATTGTAATTAGTGTTAATTATTTTGTATGTTTAATTCGTGAATTGTAGCTATTGTCATTCCTTTTGGAATATTACTATATACGTTGGAATAATTGTATAAGATTACTTCGTTAGAATAGTCTACTATCTGGGTTTCTAGCATTAAATATTTTTCGCTGCCTAAGCGGTCTGTAGGATTTATTTTATACTGTGTTAGTATATCATTGCTTGTGATATATATTTTTAATTTTGACTTCGATTTTTTTTGCGATAGTAATATTGTCATTAGATTTTATTTTTATGTATTCGGGTTGCACTTGTGATGCTTTCAGTTGTATAAATGTTTAAATTATTATTTTCATTATGTTTGTAATATATATATTTTTTTTTTTTTTTTCTTCTTCTCTCTCCCCTAACAACACGTTAAAAAATAAATTATTAAAATAATAGGATTAAATATACATTTAAGCATAATTTTATAGTCAACGACGCGAATAAGCCGAGACAGTAATATAGTGTAAAAGTAGATTAGTATTTAATGTAGTAATAAGACATTTGTATGTAGAAACATCATTAAAAATGAGGGCATTTTTTTCAAAAAACAATGGGGACTGTCGTATATTGTAGACAGTCGTCAAAATGTTATTGTAATATTTGTAATAGAGGTGGGAACATTTTAAATTGTAAACTATTGACATAGGTCAGTGAAGCATATGTGCTGAGACAGCGATAAGATTAATATATAAGACCGCCGCACGCGCAGGCAAGGGAGTCCCGTTGTCGCTGAGTGAATCGGCGAGAACGTAGGTACTGTGGTCGTGCGTGTGAAACGTCGATCGTAGTACGGGCTAGACGATTTGGATTTGCTAAGTTTTTCATTTATGTTTGTTTTAATATAATAAAAGTGTTTCCGACCTAAAAACCCGAGTTGAGTTTTATTTCAAAGTCTTCTTCGTTCTTACCTTTAATATTGGAACAGTGCTCAGACCCACACACCTATAGTCAATGAGGTTTATTACAAACTGAACAGTGCTCTGGTTGTGGCGTCCTAATAGTCATTCCAATTTAGGAAACGAACGAAGAACTGACAAAACGCTACCATCGTACCTCAAAGGTTAACAGTGCTAATCTGAATTTATTCTAGAGACAGTCATTAGCCTAGAGCGTACGAGGGTAAGGTATAAAGTTGGTTTACCGCGTATTATCCAATACGGGTGATACCACAACTTGTTGACTTTGTTATTTCTTTTGAATTTAATTTATATTACTATTTTATTTGTATTAATAAGACTCAATTTTCAAATAGGAAATGGACAATGGTTGAGTAATCAATTTTAAATTGTATAATTGTATATTATATATTTAAATACAGGATTTTATACCGTATAAAATGTGTATAATACGGTATAATACAAAAAATTATTATACCCTACTTAAATACAATAGTATTATACAAAGTTTAATACACGTATAATGCAAGGTATAATACAGTATAATACAAAAATAAAATAAAATACCGTATTTTAACAACACTAGATATAATCAAAAGATTAAGAACATAAAATAATTTGTCACACCGATGAATTTGTATGACATAAATTTTGACTGTAAATATATTATTTCGAGTAGAACATATAGGTAAGTACCTATAACTAGAGATACCTACTAAAAGATACAGTGATTATAGAAAAATTACAACAATGAAAATAAAACATATAGCTGGGACGATGACATAATATAAGTAGGTACGTGATGTTTATTAGATTTAACGAATTATTAATTTAATTTTTTACATTTTTATGTTGTGTTTATTATGTATAATATTATTATGAATTTTTTTCCTTTTTTTATTAAACTTGTGGTTTTAGGTATAATATATTATGTATTAGCACTATTATTATTGGCATTTTAAAACCGAACTCCACAAGAAGAAAATAGAAAAAATCACTGATTCTCGACTATAAGTAACGCCTATATAAGTTCTAATATTTACTACAGTAACCATAGGTGGTCTTAGGACTTGGGTCTTGAAAGAAATGTAATCTCGTACAAATTTTAAACATATTATAACGAGCCGCCGAGCCGGGGCTTCCGTCGGTAAACTATTTAACTAAAAGCAGGTTTTTAATAAATCTGGATTATCGAATCAATCCTAAGTGCACCTATCGTTCTATAACTAATTTTAACTACGTTGAGTAATATTAATGCTCAAGTAAAACATAATTTAACTACAACCATACCTTTAGCATAACTTCGACCAGCTGCAGCCACATCTTAATATTGGATGACTTCGCGCTTGAAACTTGGAGTAGGTACTAAGTTCTGTGTCGGCAGCCATTTTAAGTCGGGGATAAAAATCAAATTAATTGAAAACGCTACTTTACTTTAATTCGATTTAATTTAAACACTATGATATAAAAACCAAAGTTAAAAACTTATTCGATAAAGTTATTAAAAAAATTCACTGTCTAAGTATATTACAATATAAATTAACTAATTCATTTTATTCGGTTAAACATTTACAAAGTGTTTAACGTCGTCAAAAATAAATAACAACCAGCTTCCTATAAAAATAATAATAATAATAATAATAATATTTATAGCCAGCACAGTATTAAATATTTACACATAATATTATAATAATATGTTTATTTAGATAATAGCCAACACAGTATAATATAAATTATATACGACATAGAACTTATACATCATCATAATACAAACAGGGAAAAATGGACGCGGCCGTTTACGCGACCATTAGAGCCGTTGGACGAGGTCAGTTAGACGCGGCGTTTGGCGCGGGACATTTCGCGACATTATTAAATAACCATATCGTATGGAAGTGGACATGAATCTTCTACTATATTATCACCCATTTCTGTTTGCCACAATATATACATTATACTTTTATCGCGATATTAGGAATTATCCGACGTTATCGAAAAACGATATCGAGAAACGACATAGTTGATAAAATCCACTTGCAAACCAACGACAATTTTAATTGACCGAAAGCAGTGGTTAGATTTACATTACTTTTACTATAATATATTATAATATTTGAGTTAGCTATGGCCTTAATGAAGTCAAATCGAAATGAATACATTTTTACTGAAAATGGTTTTATATATTTATTTGACAAACTAAGTTCTGATTCGCTTAAAAAATTTTGGCGCTGTAAATACAAACGTGAGTGCAAGGCACGCGTTCATACAGGAATTGATAGTTTAGAAGTACTGAAACGCATTAATGAACACACTCATGATTCGGAGGCTGCAAAAGTCGAGGCGATGGTTGGCATTAATCGTTTGAAAAATAGAGCGGCTGAAACTATGGAACCAACATCAACTGTAATCAACGAATGTATTTCTGGATTATCAGAAGCGGCTAAGGTAATACTATTTTGTCAATTACAAGTAAGTCACTGTAATGGATTATGTTAAATTTGAATCAAATGCAAATCTTGTGTTACATTTTAAAATCTTAGATTTAAAAAGAAAATTTTTTATGAATTTTTAACTCTAAATAATTTGCAAATTTTCGTCATTTTTACGTATTTTATCAAAATTTCAACTTTAAATGCTTAGAAAAAAAATTGTGACTACAGATAATTTATTTTAGCTCTAGCAAAATCGGTTTTGTCGAAAATCAATGTAGCGTAAAAATTCCCGTTTTTTTCTTAAAAAAAAAATTTAAAAAAACACACATCATTGTAAAACCAATACATTCATCGCTTCGCTTAGAATCTAAAAATGTATTTATTTATTTATTTCATTTATTTTAAATTAGGGTGCAATTTCATCAAGTCAAGCATTGAAAAAAGTAGTACGACGGAAACGAAAAGAAATTCAAGCATCACCAAATGCACCACAAGATCTACTAACTTTGGAAATACCAGATTCCTTTAAAGTGTACTCACCATCAACAGGTTTGATTGAACCATTTTTACTTGACGATAGTGGACCAGGCGTCGATCGTATTTTAATTTTTGGAAGAAACCGTAGTTTAGACATTTTATACAATTCAAAAGTTTGGTACTGTGATGGAACGTTTAAAATCGCTCCAGCTATTTTTTCTCAAGTTTTTGTGATACTTGCTGAAGCTTTGGGTGGTGTACATCCACTTATATACGCTTTATTGCCAAACAAACAAGAAAAAACGTACACTCATTTATTTAAAATGTTAAACCAATTAAAGCCAGGATTAAACCCGACTTCAATATCTTGTGATTTTGAGCAAGCAATACTAAAATCTATAAAAACTGAATATCCTAATACTGAAATTTATGGTTGTCTTTATCATTTTTCCAAAAATGTTTATAAAAAATTATGTGACCTAGGGATTGTGTCAAATTATCGAAATAATTCTGATTTTTCAATCTTTGTGAAAATGGTTGTAGCATTGACATTTATTCCAATTAATGATATTGATTTGGCAATTGAATCGTTGTCGGGATACTTACCAGACGAATTACAGCCCTTACTAGACTGGTTTGAAGACAATTATGTTGGACGAATTAATAGAAATCGAAGAGGTCGTCGATTACCTTTATTTCCTCCTAATATTTGGAGTATGTATAACAGAGTTTTGAATGGAAAAAACAGAACCAACAATCACGCCGAAGCTGCTAATCGAAGACTAAACATGGAGATGGGCGTTAACCATCCAAGTTTGTGGTCTTTTATAACGTGTCTTCAAAAAGTTCAGTCAGGTAGAGACTTTTATTATAGTCAATTAGAAGCAGGAAATAGTCCCCCTAAAAAATTAAAAAAATATATTGATGTTGATAAGAGAATTTTAAAAATTGTTCAAAATTATGAACAAAGTGAAATTTTAACATTTTTGAGAGGGATAGCCCAAATATTTCAGTACATAAACATTAATTTGAAATCGATGTAATTAAAATTGTACTGTAATTGTATTTTACTGTTAAATTTGATGTCATTTTTATATTACTGTAAATTCGATTATCATTTTTATTTTCTGTAAATTCGATTGTAATTTTTGATTTTACTTTATTTTTATTTTACTATTTTTATATGTATTATTATTTATGTTTTTTCGCGTCTAATGTCCCCGCGCCCAAACGGCAGCGTCTAAATGACCTCGCGTCCAAATGGCTGCGCCCCAAACGGTTGGTCAAATGCCGCGTCCATTTGTCCTAGATCGTATAATAATATAATATAATAGTTACAAACTACAGTTTATACTGATTAACAATTTAAAAAACGGGGGACGGAGTGGCCGAGCGGACTGAGGCGTCGGCTGCGACGCAGACAACGCTGGTTCGAAACCTCGGTCGCGGGCGGCATTTTTCTTCGGAAAAGTCACGGTGTCCGGAGAATAAGTATCACCATCCCCAGATACCTACGGGTGCCCAAACCAAAAATTCTGCCAAAACAAACACACAAGTATTCCTCCCCCTACCAACTAAAACCTTCAAATAAAACAGAAATAGCTAATGGTCTGGTAAAGGGTACATTGCAGAACGCGGACACTTCGTACGGTCGAGTGAAAATTTTAATTTTAATTTTTAGAACTCCCACACTTTTTATTGTTATATACATAAAGTATATAATATTATTATTAATATAAGCAATATGCCTAATATAAGCAGTATAATATATAATATTAATTATTAAAATAGAGAATTTAAAAATAAAAACTAAATTGTTACCTATATAATATTGTTTATTAATAATAATCAAAATGATTAAGCAATCAATAATATGATTATAAATCTTAATTGTATTATATTATCAAAAGTTATGTTTAAGTAAATTCAAAAGTGTACAATATAAATATGTCAAAATGACAAATAAAATATAATATTGAAAAAATCTTTTAAAACTACATATTGTATACTATAATATGGAAATATCTCAAAATTTCAAGTTTGGTATGCAAGCACGAATAATAATAAGCAGTTGGTTTTCGATCGTCACTTCTAATGCTTCCAACCTGTTCAACATAGGGAAAGCACCATACTGATGAGGAGGTCGTAATAATTGTTTAGTATATAAACAAACGTGTAAGTTTTCTTCAAAATGTGGTGTAGCTAACTCAAAATCAAATAACCGCAGATGGTAATATTATTACTTGAAATTTTTACCTACCAAATATTCACATAAGCATATTCTGTACATAACGAAAATTGTCAAAATATTTTCAAATTTTTGAGCTATAAGAGACATTTTATCGAAATTTTTCGATTTTTTTTTTTCGTTAAATGTCGAAAAAAAACAAAAGTATACCTTCAGTACAATAATATTATAGTCACGATGTTCACAAGCCTGATACGGTGCAGTAGGACTGCCCGTGTCGTAGAATAAAGTCAACACAATGAGGTACTGGTATTACGTTCCTTTATTGTGTTAAAATGAATAATGTATGTGAATATAAATGCCCAATGGGCAGTCTTCGTCGGTGGCTGCCGTGCCACTGTCGGGATTGGTTGAGCTCCGCGTCTGGACTCGGTTTACCCGAGTGGACTGGTTGTTCTCTCCTGTGGCTGGCTCTGCGTCGCTGGTGGATCACCGTCGTTGTGAGGGGTTCCCAGGTCGTCCGTGGATCGTGGGTCGTTTCCTCAGCGTCGGTAATTACTACCGGTCGGTTGAATTGGGCAGGAGTTGATATATCATTGATATTGTCATAAATTTATAAATAAATGTTATTATTAATATTTAATAACTAATGAATTTATAGAAGTGAGTAGCTAGCTTACAAATGTGAATTTAAAATCGATTATTATGTTATTATGTTATTATTATCTTATAGACTTGTAGATATTTTAATTAAAAACAGTTATAAATAAACACATATTTTTTGGAATGACATTTTAGAGAGGTTTGATTTAACAAGCCATCTTTTACAAGACCCGAAAATAGTTCTTCAATCTGCTGTAAATGCCCTAAATTCTCTTTTATCATTTGTTCAAGAAATACGAAATAAATATGAAGAGTACCTACGAAGAAAAAGCAAAATAATTGTCAGGATTAAAAGATTATGCGCCAATTCGTTATCGGAAAAAAAATGTGAGGCTCAATTCATTAAATAATAATCAAACAGCCGCAACTCAGTTATCACCAAAAGAAAAATTTAGATCAGAAAGTTTTATTTCAATAATTGATCAATTGGTGGTATCATTAACTGAAAGAATAGCTGCTTACAAAACAATTTGTCAACGTTTTGGTTTTTTAAATAAATTTGAAAAATTAGAAACTTCTGAGCTACAATCCGCTGCAAATTGTCTTGTTAGCATTTACCCCAATGATTTAGAATCTTCACTTGGTAATGAATTGATACAGTTCAGTTCATTTATCAGAATATATATAGAAACGCTTAAAGATAATGAGCAATGGGAAATGTTTTTATATAGGATTATTGAAGAAAATAATTTGCAGTGTACATTTCCTAATGTAGAAGTAGTGTTGCGTATATATTTAGTTTTGATGGTGTCCAACTGTAGCGGGGAACGGTCATTTTCTAAAATGAAGTTAATAAAAAACCGACTACGAACTTCGATGACACTAAGTCGACTATCAGGCCTTGCACTGCTAAGCATCGAAAGCGACTTACTACGATCATTGGATTTTTCACAAGTTGTTGAAAAATTTGCGGCGACGAAATCTCGCAAAGTTATCATATAAATATATTATGATAACCATTATTATTTAAGTTCTATATATAATATTATGACAATTGACAGTGCATACCTATTATAATCTAATAAATGTATTTACTTATTTACTATCTTTATTATTTCATCACAACAAATCATTGTTTTTTCATTACCAAAATTCTGGTTATTAAATATATTATGTACTTAATCGAAAAAAAATATCTACTTCTAAAGGTGGGCCCAGGGCCCCCACATTCCTAAATCCGGCCCTGAGTAAGAGGGAAGAGGAGTTGCTCTTAAAATTGGTAACAGATAACAGTCAGCATTAATCATGTCCTGTACTTGCCTCCAGCCTCAAATAACATAATATGTAACTATACTGATTTTTCAGACGATTTTTCAATGATTGATGATAACAATGATGATTCTTCATACATTGAAACTGGTAAGATCATGTTACATTAAATTGCTAATATTACAATCTCCGGTTAAGAGTAATTAAAGTGGAATCAACTATTGTAATACTTGTCCTAATGGTAATAATTTAATTAGTTCATATTTTTTTTTAAATGTAATGTAAATATTTTTTTTTCAGTTATGCCTAATGAAGTAAAAACTGTCAAAACCGCTACAAATATCACTGAACCACTCTTCACTGAACCAGGTATGTTTCCTAAAGTTTGTGCCAAAAAGAGATGTCAATATATGAAATTTAATTAAAATTAATAAAATTCACTATTTAACTACCGTCAATTTTTAGATTCTGAGCGGAGCGATGAATGTATTGGTTTTACAATGATGTATGTTTTTATATTTTTATTTATATTTGTTTTTATTTATATTTTTGTGTCTGTCATCACGTTTTAGGACAGTAAAAGTGCTTCGATTTTCTTCAATAGTACCTTTTCTGATAGGAAAGTGAATCTAGTTGGTACTTTGGGGGGTCAAAAGTAAACATTTCCCAGTAGTTTTCACAAGCGCCGGGAAAAACAACATAAAAATTAAGGAAAAACGGGAATTTTTACGCAAAATTGGTTTTCTAAAAAATCGATTTTGGTTATTGGTGTAACTCTAAAACAAATGAACGTATATACATGAAATTTTCACTGGTTGTTAATATTTGCATTTTCTATACACGATAACATTTTCAAAATATTTTGATTTATTTTGAACTGTTTAGGGACATTTTCATTTTCCATTTTTTTTTTAGTTTTTTTTCTAAAAATATCAATAAAATTTTATTTGTCGGTTGCGAAAGCTTGAAAATTTAATAGAAGGCTCCTAATATGTTGTTTCAAAGGCAGATGAAAAATATTAAAAATCCTTAGTCACAATTTTTTTTTATAAGCATTTAAAGTTCAAAAATTGACAAAATATGGAAAAATCACGAAAATTAGCAAATTATTTTGAGTTAAGAATTCGTAAAAATTTTTCTTTTTAAATCTAAGATTTGAAAATGAAACACAAGATTCCTTATAAGATTATCTACCTTTATCAATAAAAAAATCTCTTCCGGACAGTCAAATTAAATTTTTATGAGCGTTTGAAATTCAAATTTTTACAACATTGGATATTCACTCGATTACTCATGTAGCGATTTCTTTATTTTGTTGCAATTCAAAAACGAATAACTATAGATATATGAAAATTGCACTGAATGTTTATATTAGCATTTCCTATACACCATACAATTTTGAAAATATTTTGACTCTTTTTGAGCTGTTTACGGACATTTTCAGTTTTCAATTTTTTTAGTTTTTTTTTTTTATAATTGTCAATAAAATTTTATTTGGTGGGCCAAAAAGTCTGAAAATTGAATACAAGCTTTCTTATATATTGTTACAATATCAGTTGAAAAATTTTAAAAATACATAGGCACGATTTTTTTTTTATAAGCATTTAAAGTTGGAATTTTGACAAAATTTATCAAAATCTCGAAAATAATCAATCGTTGGAATTAAAAAATTATAAAATGTTCAGTTTTTATAACTAAGAGTTGAAAATTTAAAACAAAGATTCTCTTAAATAATTCATACTGTAACCAAAAAATCTAAAAATTTATAAACACACTTATTTTTTACGGACATTTTAAATTCAAATTTGGACGAAATTACATACCTAGAATAACTATTTTAGTTATTTTGTTGTGATTGTATAATATTATTCGTGGGTACTTGAAATTTCTAAAGTAATCTACTATATATATCTATGATAGTATCAGGGTTTGTTGTTGGTGTATAACGCGTTATAAGTACCTAATGGATATTGTGATATGATT